GATCTTGGCTCACCACAACCTCTGCCTCCTGGGTTCAGGCAATTCTCCTGCCTCAGCCTCCTGAGTAGCTGGGATTACAGGCACGCGCCACCATGCCCAGCTAATTTTTTGTATTTTTAGTAGAGATGGGGTTTCACCATGTTGACCAGGATGGTCTCGATCTCTTGACCTCGTGATCCACCCTCCTTGGCCTCCCAAAGTGCTGAGATTACAGGCGTGAGCCACCACGCCCGGCCTAAACTTGCCTTCTTTTTTTTTTTTTTTTTTTTTTGAGACAGAGTTTTGCTCTTGTTACCCAGGCTGGAGTGCAATGGTGCAATCTCAGCTCACCGCAACCTCCGCCTCCTGGGTTCAGGCAATTCTCCTGCCTCAGCCTCCTGAGTAGCTGGGACTACAGCGCACGCCACCATGCCCAGCTAATTTTCGTATTTTTAGTAGAGACGGGGTTTCACCATGTTGACCAGGATGGTCTCGATCTCTTGACCTCGTGATCCACCCTCCTTGGCCTCCCAAAGTGCTGAGATTACAGGCGTGAGCCACTGCGCCCGGCCTAAACTTGCCTTCTTACTTATTTTATGTTCAGATTAAAGTTAGGCTCAGTGAAGTGGAGCCTAACTGGATGTGTGAACAGACTAAGCTCAGACTGGGCACAGTGGCTCAGATTTGTAATCCCAGCATTTTGGGAGGTTGAGGAGAGTGGATCACTTGAGGTCAGGAGTTCGAGACCAGCCTGACCAACATGGTGAAACCCCGTCTCTACTAAAAACATACAAAAAAAAATTAGCCAGACATGACGGTTCTCGCCTGTAATCCCAGCTACTCTGGTGGCTGAGGCAGGAGAATCGCTTGAACCCGGGAGGCGGAGGTTGCAGTGAGCCGAGATCTCACCACTGCATTCCAGCCTGGGCAACAGAGCAATACTCTGTCACACAAGCACATACAAAAGGCTCCAGTATACAAACATAGAATTCTTCTTTGGTTACCCTGGATGAATATCTGTTGGGTATTTGCATGGTAGGGAAAATGTTAAACCATAGATTTACCTCTGTTCAACTGCATTAGAAACCGTGGAATATTTCCAAGATTTTTTTTTTCATAAATCAATTCTGAAACCCACAAGCAGTACGTGAGATTCCTGCTTGATCCACATTCTGTAAATACTTAATAATTTCGGTCATTTTCAGTCTTTGTTGGTGTGTGATGGTCTTAGGAGTCGGTTTTATTTGAATTTTTGGATTACTAACGAATTTGATTGCCTTTTCACGTGTTTAAGAAGGTTTCAGTATTTTTTTGTTTTGTTTTGAAATGTCTTTTGGTTAATTTTCAATTTTTTAATTGTCTTGTGTTTCTTTTTCTTGCTGATTTATTGGAGTACCTTATAGATCCTGGATTTAACATTTTTCTTGGTTCTCTTTACCTCTCTTTCTCTTTCATTGCCTTTCTTTGGATGAAGATCGGTTCTTAAATTTAATATAATAGAAATTGTCATTTCCACACTTGTATAATTTTCCCCTATGTCAGAATAATTTTCCTATTCTAACACTACAGAGTTGTACCCCTCTGATTTCTTCTATAAATTTCATTATTCAGGCCAGGCATGGTGGCTCACACCTTTAGTCCCAGCACTTTGGGAGGCCGAGGTGGGCGGACCTCGAGGTCAGGAGATCGAGACCATCCTGGCTAACACGGTGAAACCCTATCTCTACCAAAAATACACACACACACACAAAAATAGCCACGCATGTTGGTGCAAGCCTGTAATCCCAACTCAGGAGGCTGAGGCAGGAGAATCGCTTGAACCCCGGTGGTGAAGGTGGAGGTGAGCGGAGATCACGCCACTGCACTCCAGCCTGGGCCACAGAGGGAGACTCCATCTCAAAGAAAAAAAAGATAAAGAAAAGAAATTACAAGCAGAAGAGGGAAGCTTCACAGAGCATAGGGCGAAGAATCAAAAGATAAAACCTCCCTCTACCCTGGCAGCCCCTGTGCTCGCCCCACCTGCATCCCTGCATTTCACAGAGGCTGTCTGGGATGGTGTGGTGCAGCCCTCCAGAGTGTAACTTCTGTGTCAGAGAAATGGTTTGTACAGCAAATTGGGTGCCCGAAGTTGAAGAAAGGACTCTCATGTAACATATTTAAATATCACCCCACTAAAGCACGCTGGAGGAGTTCAACCTGTTTCTACATCACCCTTTATCCTTCCTTCCTTCTTTCCCTCCTTCCCTCCTTCCTTCCTTCCCTCCCTTCTCCTTCTCCTTCCTTCCTTCCTTCCTTCCTTCCTTCCTTCCTTCCTTCCTTCCTTCCTTCCTTCCTTCTTTCCCTCCTTCCCTCCCTCCCTCCTTCCTTCCTTCCCTCCCTTCTTCTTCCTTCCTTCCTTCCTTCCCTCCTTCCCTCCCTTCTCCTACTCCTTCTCCTTCCTTCCTTCCTTCCCTCCCTTCTCCTACTCCTTCTCCTTCCTTCCTTCCTTCCTTCCTTCCTTCCTTCCTTCCTTCCTTCCTTCCTTCCTTCCTTCCTTCCTTCCCTCCTTCCTTCCCTCCCTTCTCCTCCTTCCTGGAACCTCTGTGTCCCGGGTTCAAACGATTCTCCTGCCTCAGCCTCCCAAGTAGCTGGGACTACAGGTGCCCGCCACCACATCTGGCTATTTTTTTTTTGTATTTTTACTAGAGACAGGGTTTTACCATGATGGCCAGGATGGTCTGGATCTCTTGACCTCATGTTCCGCCCGCCTCAGCCTCCCAAAGTGCTGGGATTACAGGCGTGAGCCATGGCACCTGGCTGCCCTTTATATTTTCATGGTTTCCATCCCCATCTAGGTAGCAGCCTGGAGACTTGCATCCACTGCTTTTTTGGGACCAGGTCCTAGAGAGACGGGAAGCTCCCCGGAAACTGAAACCCCACCCTCAGAGCCCTCTGATCTTTCTGGCCTCAGGAGAGTTTCCTCCCAAGGTGAAGCGGGAGGAGGTGGGTGCGAGAAGCAGTGTCTTCGCCCTCTCCCTCCAGCGTTTCCTAACCGTGACCCCACGTTTGACTTAACCACAAAGGATCTACCCATCCCTACATCCAGCCTCACACGGGACTTAGAACGTGACTGTCTCCAAGGGTGGGACCCAGCCAGGAGGAGCAGTTGAAGCTCACCAGGAGATTCTGAGGTGGAAGCAAATTGAGAGTCAGTCGATTTTCGTGCTTATCCCACCTTAACCCACATGAGAAACAGCTGGGGTTGTTAGTAAATGGCAGGTACTGACTCAGAGGGCGCCTGCGCCTGCGGGTTTGTGTTTCTTGGAAGCTACGGGTCTGTAGCTGACTCAGTAGGCACCAAGTCCTCTTCACTCGAGTAAACGAAATAAGATGATCAAAAGGAAAGGAAATTGGCTTGAAGTGAAAAGGAAAACTCAGAACACCTGTAAAACGTGTCCTAGCTGAGAGAATTTTATTAATATGGAAATAAATTAACCAATGAGTGTAACAATGACTTTTAATAAGAGAAGTTCCAAGGCCAGTGGAACACATCATTGTAAGTGAAATTCATTTACAAACTTGAACTTAGTCTATACTTATGTGGTATGTTAATAGCAATGGTAAGATATATTTTACCATTCGCTTTGCATGACTTACTGAATCTGCTGAATAATTCCAACATTGAGAATACTGGTAACCCAACTTTACACATGCACTAGCTGAGACACCCTTTCTATCACAATGGAAATTAATGTGTACATAGTTTCATAAAATAAATGGAGTATTTCCCTTTTTGGAAATTCTGGAAAAATGTATAAGGTGCAAAGCACAGTTTCTTAAAAGTTTGAATTCACTGATTAAAAAACACAATCGGCTGGGCATGGTGGCTCACGCCTGTAATCCCAGCACTTTGGGAGGCTGAGGTGGGCAGGTGACTGGAAGGCAGGAGTTCGAGACCAGCCTGGCCAACATGGCCAAATCCCATCTCTACTAAAACTACAAAATTAGCCAGGCATGGTGGCACACGCCTGTAATCCCAGCTACTCAGGAGGCTGAGGCAGGAGAATTGCTTGAACCCAGGAGGCGGAGGTTGCAGTGAGCCGAGATTGTGCCACTGCACTCCAGCCTGGGTGACAGAGTAAGACTCTGTCTTAAAATTAAAAAAAAAATTCCTTCAAGAAAAAAAAATCCTTACTTTCCCAAGGCTAAGAGTTTCTCACTGCAGCTCTCCTCAACAATCAAAAATTCTAGATTCAGGAGATACCGACCTTTTACACAACCATTGAAGGACTCAAAATTCAGGGGTCGGCTCCCTCCCTCAGATGAATTTCAAAGCTTTCTATTGACACTAGTGGTGAAATCCTGTTTTCGTTCTTTAATTATTATTATTTTTGAGACAGAGTCTCACTCCATCACCAGGCACCAGGGTGGAGTGCAGTGGCGAGACTTCGGCTCACTGCAACCTCCGCCTCCTGGGTTCAAGCAATTCTTCTGCCTCAGCCTCCCGAGTAGCTGGGACTACAGGCGCGCACCACCATGCCCAGCTAATTGTTTTGTATTTTTGGGGTTTCACCATGTTGGCCAGGGTGGTCTCGATCTCTTGACCTCGTGATCCGCCCGCCTCTGCCTCCCAAAGTGCTGGCATTACAGGCTTAAGCCACCGTGCTCTTTAAATTTTTTTTTTTTTTTGAGACGAAGTTTCGCTGTTGTTACCCAGGCTGGAGTGCAATGGCACGATCTCAGTTCACCGCAACCTCCGCCTCCTGGATTTAAGAATTCTCCTGCCTCGGCCTCCCGAGTAGCTGGGATTACAGGCACGCGCCACCATGCCCAGCTAATTTTTGTATTTTTAGTAGAGACGGTGTTTCACCATGTTGACCAGGATGGTCTCGATCTCTTGACCTTGTGATCCACCTGTCTCGGCCTCCCAAAGTGCTGGGATTACAGGCGTGAGCCACTGTGCCCGGCTGGGGCCTGCATTTGCACAGGCACTGCAGCAGTGACCCCACACAGGGCTGCCTCCCGCCTCTCCCCTTCTCAGCCTTTCAGCCACTCCCAAGTCATATGGGCTTGAGGCCAGGTCTTCCTGTCTTGGGGGTGTCAGTCACTGTCACTGTCCTCAGAGGAGGAAGAGATCTGGAGGTCCTCATAGAGGACACTCCTTGTGACCTGGGGACCCTGACCCTCAGACTCCTTTGAGAAGTGAGAGCTCTGACCAGAAGTCCAGTCCTCGGGAGGGCAGGATGTGGGGGGCATTCTGAACCTGGAGCTCTCCTGTCCCTGGCCCCCTCTCATGAAAGTGACACTGCCAGGCCTCCCTGGAACAGGAATGGGAGGTCCAGGCTGGAGGATGGGGCAGCCCTGGGCTGGGCCCAGGAAAGGTGAGCTGGCTGCGGGGGACTGGAGGTTGACTCTGGGGTGTTCAGTTGCTGTCTTAGTGGCTCCTGTCTTTGTGGTGGCCTTGGGTGCCTGTTTGGGTCCGAGTCCAGTTGCCACGGGGTGAAGCTGGAGAGGCTGCACAGCGCCCACATCAGGGAGCTGAGTTCTCAGTGTGGGGGTCGGGAAGGAGCCGAGTCTTGCTTTCTTTGTGGGGTTCTGGGGAGTCTGGATGGGGACCTGGACACGCTTCTTGCCTGCTGCCTGGGTTCTGGATTCTTGGCCACACTTTTGTCTGACATGCTGTGCTCTGGGTTTTGCATTTGCATTGGGCCTACCTTCTGCCTGGGATTTAAGGCCAGGACCCAGGGCAAATGTCTTCATGGCAGGCTGGAGAGCACCGTGGGAGGACACTTCAGGCCTGTTGGCTGGTGGCCTGGCGCTGAGAGCGGAGACTTGGTGGGAACTTGTCACAGCAGGGAGCTGGAAGGCAGTAATGTCCCCAACATGTCGCTTGGTGGGTCCACAGCTGCTCAGTTCTGGTTGTTTGCTTAATCTCGTCCCGGGTGTCTTGATGAGAGGCGGCGGACCTGTGGGCCCAGGGCCCTGGACAGATCTCTTCTTGGTATTGTGCACCGGCAGTGGCATGGTAGGGTGCTGCAGGAGAAAGCACCCCACATGAGACAGCTCAGCAGGAGAATCACCAAACTCCATGAAACAGGGAGCTCACATCACATGTGCAACCATATCCCGGTAGAAACTCTGTGAAAACCAGAAGCCAGCTAGGACAGAGGAAAATGGACAGGCTGACATCAGAAACAGAGGAGAACAACATGCATTGGGATTGCTTCTAAATCTGGAAGAAATATAGGGAAGACCCTACATAAGGAGACAGGATAGATGAAGTTAAACATCACAGAAAAGGATGTACAGAATGCTCACTTCAGGAGTCGTGTGGGGGAAAGGAAGCCTACCATCAAGTTTGCTGTGACAATTGGATTTGAAAACTATAACTGTCTATATGTTGTCTGTTGGTAATATCAAGGGAATATCAATTCCCCCACACAACGTGGAGACTGGAAATGGCAGAGCTCCTTTTGAAAGCAGATTTAAGAACATGTATAAAAATGAAGGAGGCCGGGTGCAGTGGCTCACGCCTGTAATCCCAGCACTTTGGGAGGCCGAGGCAGGTGGATCACGAGGTCAAGAGATTGAGACCATCCTGGTCAACATGGTGAAACCCCGTTTCTACTAAAATACAAAATACAAAATACAAAAAATTAGCTGGGCATGGTGGCGCATGCCTGTAATCCCAGCTATTCGGGAGGCTGAGGCAGGAGAATTGCCTGAACCCAGGAGGCGGAGGTTGCGGTGAGCCAAGACCGCGCCATTGCACTCCAGCATGGGTAACATGAGCAAAACACCGTCTCAAAAAATAAAAATAAAGAAATTAAAAAATGAAGGAGATGCCTTCTCCGCAGCCATGCCCCTAAGGCACCTGATCCGTCACTCCCCACGGGCACTGAAATGTGCCCAGCAGCATGTGCTGGCCAACCTGCAAATAAACGCACAGAAACCAATGTTCAAATGAAGAAGCTGGAAACTGGAGTGTGTGAAGTACTCACCGCAGTTCTCCTGCCTAGGTCTCAACCTAATCCCCACCCTCGAGGGGCACAGAAGTGAAGGAGTCAGGGGACCCAGAAGAGGAGCAGAGCAGGGGTTGGGGGGAGACTCACCCTCAGGTACCAATGGGCTTCCTCTGGCTCCTCCCAGGCTCCCTGCACTTTCTCTTGGGGCTTCCTGGGAAGTGTCTTCGTGGGAGCTTTGGTCTGCTGCTGCTGCTGCTGGGGCCTGCAGAGGAAATCACTTTCACCGTCTGGACCCGCCTGACCCTCCTGTCCACACCTGTGACTGGGAGCCAAGCGCCCTCCCGGAGCCCAGTCCCAGCCCTTGCTTTGGGTGAGGGAGGCATTCAGACCTCCGTGAAATTTGCCAAGACGGCCCCTTCTCTCATCTGAGAAGCAGCCCCACTTCTAGGAAACCCCGTCCCTGCCACGGCCCCAGGTTCCCTAAGTTCACTCAGACCCTGATGCTGCTGCCTGCCACGGGCAACATCCCCAGGTCTCCCACAGGCCCTGCCCTCTAGAGACTCGGCGCCGGAATGAGCTGGAAGTGTGGGCCCTGGAAGGCAGGGACCTCCATCCACCTCCATGTGCAGCTTTCCTGTCTGTGCCTAGAGAAGGCTGTGCAGAGCCAGGAGACGCCGTCTCATGGCTCCGACATCAGGCATCCTCCTCGACCCTGCAGAATCCTCACCTTGAACCTTGCTCCTTTTCTCTGTCATCCCTCAGAAAGGGCCCTGGAGCCTGGGGTAGCTGAGGCTTTGCTGGCTTCAGTTTCTCCCCCTCCTTGCATGAGCCCAGGGGCTGCAGAGGAAGGGCCCCACTCCACCTCCTCATGGGGCAGGTTGTGCTCCTGGCTGAGTGCCCAAAGGCCCCACAGTTCTTGCATTTCACCTGCAGGTGGAGGAGGATGGGGATCAGTGAGTCAACAGCAATCACAGGCACCTTCAAAGGTTAATAGAAGGTCTGGGTTTTGGAGGTGGATTACTTTGGGAGAGAGACATACGCCCATGGGCTGTCGGCTGCCAGGAAATTCAAGATGTGATCGTCCTCCCCAGAGCCCGTTTAACAGAGGGGTCCCGGGAGGAAGGATGAGGGTGAAGCAAAGGAACCCGGGTTTGAGGCTGTGGCAGACACCAGGCTGGACGTGACACTGGGCAGAGAATGGGCCAGTCTGCCAGCAGAGGAGAGCACAGAGCGGTCAGCCTGAGACCAGTGGGAATACCTGAGTCATAACCACGGGCCCCATGTTCAAGCCCACCCTCTGGGATCCGTGCAGACACCTTGGTTTCCCACATTTTCAAGCCCCCACTGACCCTGGATTCCTTCTCGTCTGCTGGGGGAGCCCTTGGCCGCACGGGTTTCCTCTGCTGCTTCTGTGGGTTCTTGGCTGTCCTGGGCCTCTGAGCCTGATGACGGATGGAATCACCTGCCACCTGTGGCAGGTCCTTGACTTTCCGATCAGTCTTCTTCATTAATTGGTTGTTGGGTTTCCTAGTCAAAAGAAAATGACAAAACACTACACAGACACCAGAGGAAAGTCCCTCCTACCCAAGTAGGGATGGAGGGACGCACTGGCCACTGAGTCACACCCACGGAACTTGGTCCTCTCTGAACCCAGGTCCCAGCTGTGTTATTTTGTGATTCTCTCCCTGACCTACTCCCAGAACAGGACATAGATTTTATAAACCAAAGGCCACTGATGTTTTGAGTGAAATGAGACTTGCAGCGTAAATGAAGGTTTCTGAGCTCTGAGCTCAGGTGCAGTCAGTGCCTCAGAGCTGAGACTCTCTGCCATATTTATCAATGCCAACACATCTGTTGGCAGCCGACAACCACTGATTTTTTCCAGGTATTTCCAGAAAACCCACTATTTTATAGACTAGCTTCTCACTCAGAAAACCCACCAGAAGCTCAAAGCTTTGCAAAGCTTTCATATTCAACCTATGGGCCCTCGTGATGTTTCACAAGACCCCTGTGACCACACACCGCTTTTCACTCGGAGGCAGGCACAAAGCCTAGCGAGGACCAGCCGTCTGAGGATGCCTGCGACGCTGACCCGTATGTGCAGGCTCACGCCAGGCATCACACACATCACAGCCCATGTCATGTCGGGGGGACACACAGACTGGAAGCCCCCAAGCCTGTTCAGGCAGAAACCTTGAGCCCACACTGTGCTTGGGGAGACCCCAGGCCGCCCCCACCTTACTCCCTGGTCCTTGTCTTACCTCTCCTCTCGGTATCCACATCTCTGTGAAACTGTGGATGGCCGGTCCACGGAAGGCTGGCATCTTTTATTGGAGACACAGCGGGCGGTTGGATCCTCTCCTGACCTCAGAGGAAATCGCAGAAGAACCTCCACAGAGGCGAGAACAACCCATTTCTCTGTCATCAAATCAATCTAATGCAGAGAAAGGAGAATGGAGATGTGACTTGGGTTCTGCAGGCAGGATGAAGCCTCAGCATAGGCGAGGAAGAACTCCCAACTTCCTGAGGGGTTTAGAGGTAATGCTGGACAGTCTCACATTTCTTGTTTCTTTTTTTCTTTTTTTTTTTAAAGTCATGGCCGGGCACGGTGGCTCATGAGTATAATCCCAGCACTTTGGGAGCCCGAGGTGGGTACATCGCTAGGTCAGGAGTTCGAGACCAGCCTGGCCAACATGGTGAAACCCCATGTATTTATAGTCTGTACTATAAATACAAAAATTAGCTGGGCCTGGTGGCGCACACCTATAATCCCAGCTATTTGGGAGGCTGAGGCAGGAGAATCGCTTGAACCCGGGAGACAGAGTTTGCAGTGAGCCAAGATTGTAGCACTGCACTCTAGTCTGGGCAACAGAGCAGACTTTGTCTCAGAAAAAAAGAAAGAAGGAAAGATACATGCACACGTACAATACCGCAGCACAATTTGCAATTGCAGAAATGTAGAACCAGCCCAAATGCCCATCAATCAATGGGTGGATAAAAACATTGTGGTACATATACATGTGTGTATATATATATATACACGCAATGGAATACTACTCAGCCATAAAAAGGAAAAAGTTAATGGTCTTCCCAGCAACCTGGATGGGGTTGGAGACTATTATTCTAAGGGAAGTAACTCAGGAATGGGAAACCACACGCTGTATCTTCTCACTCAGGTGAGAGTTAAGCTATGAGGATGCAAAGGTAATCTCAGTTCTTTGCTCCACAGCCCACAAGGAGTTTGCTGATGACCTTCAAATGGCACCAAGAGTGACAGCCCAGCATATTGGGAAGTGCCGCTGTTCCCAGGTGGGAACCAAGGGGCGGGGGAGTTGGCACTTTCCCGTGTCCCTGTGAGGAATTACGTATGGATTTTAATGGGTCAGTGACCGTGTATGGAGGTGGCAAAACCCTGAATGTGACCAGGTCGTGGGCGGGGAGCCTGCTGCAGCCTTGCCTGAGGCCTGGACTCCCCCATTCCACCTGCGTCCCAGGTGGCCCCAGCTCCCGTACTCACATCTCTTTGTGGGATCCCACACTTCTTTAAGAACTCCTTCCCCTGTTCCATGGAGAGCGTGTTGGGGTCCATCTGTGCTGATCTTGCCTGAGGGATTCTGTTTCCCTGTGGAGGATAGAAAATGAGATGCCAAATCCTTCCTATCCCTGGAATCTCCAAGGTGCAGGATGCTGTGGGCCCCGTGTCTCTGCTGTGGCCACCATGTTCCTAGGACTAAAGCTACATTTCCTGTCTTGCAAGCCACACAGATGCGCCCAGTGACTTGACACCAATGTGAATGGGAAAAGCAGGTGATCCATGAAAAGAATTGTTCACCTGACTTAGTGTGTTTGATATGTGGGCAATGCAGGTCCCTCCTCTAGAGACCCTCAGGGTATACCGTCAAACATCCGGAGAGACCGATCGTGGAACTGGCATCAAATAAAATTCAATACATTGAAAAATTGGATGTTTTAACCGTCTGTACATCAGCCTTATCTAAATTAGATGTTCCTTCATTTCATAAATTCTAATATTAAGGATGTTTTATACTACGAAGCATATTCCTTGAAATTTCTGAAATAAAACTCCTTGAGATCAAATAAGGTATTTAAGGGAGGCCGGGCGCGGTGGCTCGGGCCTGTAATTCCAGCACTTTGGGAGGCCGAGGCGGGCAGATCATGAGGTCAAGAGATTGAGACCATCCTGGCCAACATGGTGAAACCCCGTCTCTACTAAAAATGCAAAAATTAGCTGGGCATGGTGGCATGTGCCTGTAACCCTGGCTACTCAGGAGGCTGAGGCAGGAGAATTGCCTGAACCCAGGAGGTGGAGGTTGCAGTGAGCCGAGATCAAACCATTGCACTCCAGCCTGGGTAACAAGAGCGAAACTCCGTCTCAAAAAAAAAAAAAAAAAAAAATCAACAGAATAATAAACGTTGTCTTGCTGTTAGCCCAGCACATGTAGACACAGCTCAGTTTAATCTTCACATGGACAAGACCCCTATATGAGAAAAACTTTTTTTTAAAAGATGGGGCTTTTTCTGGGCACATTCTGCAGATGCCCTCATCTGTAATGTAGTAGCTTTTGGTGAACTCTTTCTTACTGCTCTCTACAACTCATCTGGAATTCTTTCCTGTGTGAGTTCCAAGGACCCTCTCTTGGGGTCTCCATCCAGTCGCTTTTTCTCCCCACAATAACATGATTGAAAAACATGAAATTGTGGGGAAGTGCTGAGGTGTATGGAGACAGCTTACAGACAGAACAGCAGGAGACGACATGATGAGAAGATGGAAATGGTAAATCGAACAGTAAGATGGAGCAAATGAAAAACAAATAGAATAAAACAGGAAAATGTACTCTTTATTTGGAAGCAGGAGTAGGATACATTACCAAGCAAAGATAATGAAATGTATCTTAATAGATCATATCAGGAAAAGAGAAGGCAAAAGGTCAAGAAAAACAAAAAAACTGATCAAGTACAAAAAACTGATTGCTGTATCAGGGGCAAACACCCTTGAAAATCTAGAATAAAGTGTGCTTTCCTCTTCAAAATCCAAATCACCAACATTGAGTGAGGAAACATTTTAAACTACGTCTTTAAGTCGAAACATTCTTTACACCACCGTTATAGACTCGGCGCTCACACCCTGTCTTGCTTGGCTTAATCTATGGCTAGAGGTTCAGGGGCCTGAATTTCCACTGGCTCCTAGGAAAGGTCAGTGAGTATACTGGAATAAAGGAGAAGTGAAGCAATCCCTTATTTAAAAGCTCTCCATCAAAGGCACCAGGTCTCCATAACTGCCCACCCAGTACCCACGCAGTTCAGGGTGCTGGGTAGGCATTCCTGGCAAATGTGACATTTATATCATCATTAAGATTTAAAAAATTTTTTGTTTTGCTATTTTTTTAATATATTTTTTTCTATCATTAATATTTCTGAAATGTTTTTTGAATCAGGCTTTGTCCTAAGAAATACTATTAAGCAATTAAGACATCTTCACCTCCACATCTAAAACCAGCCAGTACAGAGCTTTCTCTGTTCTATTTCTCCTGTTGGGGTAAACCAACACCCAAAATAGTAATAGACCAACCTGTCGTCTTCCTTCTCTCCAGCAGCCACTCAGGTAAGTGGACCTTTGGCAGACTCCACTCTTCACAGTGGAGCTTCCATGAGGAAGGGAGCAGAGAGCACTGAGGGGAAGGTCCCTTCTCCTGCTGGTATTTATACTACCCCAGAGCCCCGAAGCCACTCCCCCTGGCTAACCCAATCATGGTGCGATCACATATAAGCTAATTACCTCTCCCTCTTTCTCCAATTGTTAGTTATTCTGTTGCTAGCGCTTTCGTTTTTTTCACACCTGTGTTCGTCCAAAACGAATAATATAATTTGCTGTTTGCCCTTCCCATAATTTTTAGTATAACCTAGAAATATGTATTTTGAACAACATACACGATTTTCTGCATGTCTACAATGTTCATGCACAAATCCGAATCCCGGCTCTCTCACTCCCTCTCTCGCAAGGGGATGGGCAGCCCAGTCTCCCCATGGCAGGGAGCTCAGTGGAAACCAGGACTGGAGAGTGTGGCCCTTGTGGGGCCAAGGATAAGTGAGGCCTGAGAACAGCCTGGCTCACTGCAAGTCCAGGAATGGACCAGTCCAGGAATGTGCAGTGTGGCTATGGGGATGGGTCACCCAAACTCTTTATATATCCAAGGAATAAAAGCCCACCTCAGATGGGGAAAACTGCAGGAAGCCAACTGTCAATTCCAGGGACAGCGTCCGGGAGCGGCAGTGGATCTTGCTTTTAATCCCTGATGGGAACAGAAAGGCAAGCAGGCCTCCAGGGTGTGGACAGGGGCTCAGCACCTCACCGGGGTTTAGAGACCCAGGGTCTGTGCAGCACTTGGGGATTGAGGATGGAATGTAAACTCGCCTCTCTGCAGAGAAGACATGGCAGTTGATACAGTTTGGATGTGTGTCCCCGCCCACATCTCCTACTGAAGTGTCATCCCCGGTGTTTGACCTGGGGCTGGGTGGGAGGTGAGTGGGTCATGGCGGTGGTTTTCTCATCAATTGTTTAGCATGCTCCCCCGTGGCTGTGTCCTTTCCAGAGAGAGTGAGATCTCATAAGATCTGGGCATCGGCCGGGCATGGTGGCTCAAGTCTGTATTCCCAGCACTTTGGGAGGCCGAGGCGGGTGGATCATGAGGTCAAGAGATTGAGACCATCCTGGACAACATGGTGAAACCCCGTCTCTACTAAAAATGCAAAAAATGAGCTGGGCATGGTGGTGTGTGCCTGTAATCCCAGCTACTCAGGAGGCTGAGGCAGGAGAATTACCTGAACCCAGGAGGCAGAGGTTGCAGTGAGCCAAGATCGCGCCATTGCACTCCAGCCTGGGTAACAAGAGTGAAACTCCGTTTCAAAAAAAAAAAAAAAAATCTGGGCATTTAGCAGTGTGTGGCACCTGCCTCCTCACTCACTTTTGCCATGTGAAACGCCTCATCCTTCTTTGCCTTCCACCATGAGTAAGAGCTCCCTGAGGACTCCTCAGAAGCTAAAGCTGCCCTGCTTCCTGTACAGCCTGCCGAAACGTGAGCCAATCATCCTCTTTTCTTTATACACGACCCAGCCTCAGGTATTTCTTTATAGCAATGCAAGAACAGCCTGATACTGGAGTGTTCCCAAGAATTATCACAGAGAGATATCAGGGTGTGGGGTCCATCTGTCCTATTCAGGGGGGTTTCTCACCCAAGGCTTCCCCAACCTCTCCTGTGACAAAGAACAGCCATCCTTTTTGCATTTCAAGGTCCTTCTGCCTGTGGGTGCAGTGGTGGCGTGGAGAAGAGAATACTGAGGTCATAATGTATATTCTCAAAACTCATAGGATTTCTCAAGATAATCTCATCTGAGGAAGAAACGGGGAGAATGAAGATGAAGAAGAGAAGGATTAGGAGATGGGAATGACGTATTCTCAGGTTCACATCCTGCCACATCCTGTGGGTCAATTGCTTGTTCTCCTTTTTCTCTGAAAACGCCATGTTTTTGTTTGGTTTTGCCATCAGGAAGAAATTGGCTTTCTGGAACTGTTTCCTGAAACTTTTTTATTTGCATTAATATTTTACCTCCCCCACATTTATATTAAAAATCCATGTACAGGCCAGGTGTGGTGGCTCACGCCTGTAATCCCAGCACTTTGGGAGGCTGAGGTGGGCAGATCACAAGGTCAAGAAATCAAGACCATCCTGGTCAACATGGTGAAACCCCAACTCTACTAAAAATACAAAAATTAGCTGGGCATGGTGGCACACACCTGTAGTCCCGGCTACTCGGGAGCCTGAGGCAGGAGAATTGCTTGAACCCAGGAGGCAGAGGTTGCAGTGAGCCTAGATTTCACCACTGCACTCCAGCCTGTGTAATGAGTGAAACTCCATCTCAAAAAAAGAAAAAAAGAATTAAAGCAAGGATTTCAGCAGTGACATGTATGAAGTACTCCAGCTCGCAAATCACAGATGTAAATACTGGCAACTATATCCTGAAGCACCAGGCTGGGTAGAATAGCTAAACATCATGGAGATGTCCAAGAAGTGACTGCTTCTGATTGCCTTAAATGTGTACTCAGTGCTGGTGGGGGTAGTGGGTGTGCAAAGTTTTGTCTGGTCACTACGTTCTCCTGAGAATAATGTTCACAACTGCCTTCTGCATTCCAAACAGCTTTCTTTCACTGGCAAACTTAAGTTAGATAATATGACATTTAAAAGCAAAAGTATGGGCCAGGCGTGGTGGCTCACGCCTGTAATCCAGCACTTTGGGAGGTCGAGGCGGGTGGATCACGAGGTCAAGAGATCGAGACCATCCTGGCCATGGTGAAACCCCATCTCTACTAAAAATACAAAAATTAGCCGGGCGTGGTAGCACGCGCCTGTGGTCCCAGCTACTCAGGAGGCTGAGGCGGAAGAATCACTTGAACCCAGGCGGAGGCTGCAGTGAGCCGAGATTGCACCACTGCTTTCCAGCCCGGCGACAGAGTAAGACTCCGTCTCAAAAAAAAAAAAAAAAAAAAAAAGTCTGGTTATGGCAGACTCAGTGAAGGGGTAACAGGTAGGCAATAGAAGGGCCAAAAGGTATCGGGAGAGGCTGAGAAAATACATTTGTGTGGAACATGGAGATTTTAAATATCGCTCATATATACGGTGAATTGTGTGCCTAAGAAAACACTTAAGCTGTTACCTTTGGATGATCTTTAGGCTCAACACAAACAGAATGTGAAGGCAAAGGCAGGGTTGTTAATGGCCTGGCTAAGCATTGACAGATTGCCCCTACTCAGAGCCAATCTGCAAATATTGAGAGTGTTTTTTCTTCCTCTTGGTCTCCTCTTCCTCCTCCTCCTCCTCCTCTTCTTCTTGCTCCAGGCATTCAATGAGATCTCTGCTGAGCCCCAACAGGACTATTACACTAATGAAAGAGACACTACAGTGACCACACATGACAACCAGGAGAATCTTCACAAAAGTAGTTTATAGAAGTCATTAAACAAATTACAGCCCACAACAAGCAGTGACAACAAACCCTAGAGAAGGGGAAGACTATGATTCCCAGAGTTCCACTGCCCAGTTTTGAACAATAACAGTAACAAAATGACACATGCAAAGAAACCCAAAATTATGACCCATTCACAAGAAAAAATAAGGGAAGCTTCAGATGATTCCAAGACATTGAATTTCCTAGACAAGTGAATGGATAATTTAAACATGTTCAAAGAGTTAAAGGAAACCATGAACAAAGAACCAAATGAAATGAAGAGAATGGTATTTCACCAAGTAGAGAATACCCACAGAAATATGGAAATTTTTAAATGATGCCAAGTAGAAATTCTGAAGCTGAAAGGTACAGTGACTGAAGTGAAATTCACTAGACCAGCTCTGCATCAATTCGAGCACTTGGAAGAAATAATCAGTGAACATAAAGATAGATCAATTGATATTATTGAGTCTTGGAGGCAGAAGCAAAAGAAAAAAAAACTGAACAGAGCCAGAGCTCATGAGGCCTGTGCGATCGTCAGTCATATTTCCAAGGTGAGCATTATGTGAATCTGCCTCTCAAGAGAGGAATGGGTGTGCGGATTTTAAAGTCTAGAGACTCCCAGACACCAGTGCGGAACACTGTAGACTAGCAGTGCAAGTTTCAAAGGGGAAGACGGAAACCCTTCTTACTGACGCGTGACCTCTCCGTCCGCTTCCGGGTTTGCGAGCCATCCCTCTCCTAGCAGGGCGGGGCGGCGCAGGGGGCGGGGCCGCAGCGTGAAGGACCAGCGCCTGGACCATGACTGGTCTCGCGATGGAACGGGCTGGATCCGAGGTGGGAGCCGAGATCCTGGAGGGTCTGGGAAAGGGGCGGAGCCTTGGCCTTCCCTAGATTCGCCCCGCCCCAGGGAGTTTCCCGGTCTGTGGGTTATTTTTCTCTTTTCCAGGCGTTTGAATCTCTGGGTTATTTTTCTCATTTGCAGCCATTTGAATCTCTGTGATGTCCTCTGGAGCAGGACTGTGTCTACCTGTTTTAAGCTCATGTTTCAAACAATGTAAGGCAGAAGCTTAGAGTTTCCTGGAAACCGAGGTGTTTTAACTCTTAGCAAGTTGAAACCTTTCAAAGCTGTGGCCGGGCGCTGTGGCTCACGCCTATAATCCCAGCACTTTGGAAGGCTGAGACGGGTGGATCACTCGAGGTCAGGAGTTCGAGACCAGCCTGGCCAACATAGTGAAACCCCGTCTCTAAAAATAAATAAATAATAAATTAAAAGCTGTATTTACCAGCAGGTGGAGATGAGATTCTACGGAGCTCTGGGAGCTGAGACTTCGGGGGCGGTGGTGGGGTAGGGTTGGGGGGTCAGTGTGGAAACCGGAATGGCTCTGGGAATTAGAACACTGTATTTAAACAAGGGCTGGAGTTGCTCTGTAGGGGACAGAAAGCGCAAGGTCAAATGCAAAACTCTACTTGTACACATGTTGCAATTTTACAGCAATTCCCATTAGAACATAATTTCCATTTTCATTCTTACTGCATTGGGACTACAGGGATGCAACCCTGGGCTTAGGGTCAGGGACTTTCATGGGGTCGCGACTTGGGCGTGTTGGTAGAGGATTCAACTATCTGATAATTTAGGTCATCAACAACACTTTTTGAAATAGATATTAATAACCCTTAGACAGTGGAAACTGTGGATAAAAGCAAGAAAAAATAGATATTAATTTCTTAGTTCTTTAATATTTTGATCTACTACACACTGGAGGTGAAAACTATTAATACAAATTAATGTATCTTTGAAATAAAGTTTGATTAGCATTATATTCTTTTGGTCAACAGTAAGGTAATGTTTGGTGTGTGTGTGTTTGTGTGTGTGTGTTGAAGCAAAATAGAGTATTTCTTAGATAATGATTCAATTTCTGTTTACTTTTTTTTTTTTTTTCCAGTTGGAGTTTCGCTCTTGTTACCAGGCTGGAGTGCAATGGCGCGATCTCGACTCACCGCAACCTCTGCCTCCTGGGTTCAGGCAATTCTCCTGCCTCAGCCTCCTGAGTAGCTGGGACTACAGGCACGCGCCACCGTGCCCAGCTAATTTTTTGTATTTTTAGTAGAGACAGGGTTTCACCATGTTGACCACGATGGTCTCGATCTCTTGACCTCGTGATCCACCCGCCTCGGCCTCCCAAAGTGCTGGGATTACAGGCGTGAGCCACCACGCCCGGCCTCAATATGGTTTTTATGGCAAGATTTTCTGAAGATCTTCCAACAGATATGTTGACCCAAAGAGTTTGAAGGTAACATCCAGTTCATCAGCATCTGTAGGTGTTCTGTATATACTCAATCTGAATAGAAATTTGTCTACAACACTCTTTCCCAGCTTTTCCCACTTTAATAAAGATGAGTTTATTTCTCATCTATCCCCTAATCTTAA